TGAAAGTCCTAACAAAATACTACCGTGGCATTATTACTATGTACAATGAATGTGTCAGATCATAATACCATGGCAGTTTGTTACAGTTAGTAATGATTACCATATTGAGGTTTTACAGGCTCCAAGGTACTTCAAAGAATACCGCGGTGTTACTATATGACATGTGCCTCTTTTTTTGGTAGCAATGATTTCTCACAGAAACATTTAGTTTTAAAATAGCACATTTATTTAAGCTTTAAATAATTACATACTAAAAAACAATTCAAAGTGTGCACTGTGCGACTGTATCAAATCTTGATGACCTATGGTAGGATTGTGCTTTAAAATACAAAGATCAAATAATTCTAAAACATTTCTAATGCAAAGCACTCATTTTACTATTTTGCAAAAATAATGACTTTTTTTACAGCATAACCTATTCATAAATGCATTAATACACAATCCTTAGTGTGACTACTCACATTTACCAATTGTATGCATTAAGATAAAGTAATTTTTAGAGCAAATCTTCTGTGCTTCCTTCAAAGGTGTGTAAATAACTGTGCATTGCTTCTTACATTCAAATACACTATGATATTTTGGAAATAAATATTTTGGTGACTGCACATTCTAAGTCCATACAACAACTCAAGCTCTTCAGCATGACACTTTAAAGCAATCAAGTCAGATACAATATGCACCCTTTTCTGTGAAAAGTAAAAACGCTTGTTCTCAGTTTACTAGTACATTCTCAAACAATAGTTCAAATCTTTATATAAAACTGCCCTCTGAGCATGTCTAGTTGTGCTTGGCCCGGCCTCCTTTCAGGTAAGTCTTCCAGCGTTTCACATATTCCCTGAAAATGGGGGCGCTGTCGATTGATGTGAGCAGTTGTAACTGGTTGATGTGAGTAGTGTGGTAGTCCCAGCGTGCTAAATTAGGGGCAACACCAAGGGAAAAGTGTCTCAGGTCATAAACCGTTCCAGAGCCTGTGTCAAACAATGGCAACATGGACTTGAGTGACTCCAGTCCTTGACTGAAGAGTATGCCCGCTTCTCGACCAAGCTTGTTGCCTGCCGTCTCCGCCACATCGTACAGCCCAATCAGAGAGTAGATAAAGCCGTTAAGAACAAACGAACTGGGTGTTGTGGGGTATTCCTCATACCAGTCGTACTTGTTCATGAATGTAGCCTTGACGCCACGTTGTTCTGAAGTCCTCTTGAAGGGGGATGTCGCTCGGATTGCGGCGCCGAGGTATGCAGGGTTATGCGTAGCCAGGTACGCCCTCACTAACGTCGACATGGCTTGGCCTTGGGCCATGGCGGAGTACCATCCGGGCTCTAAGCTCTTGAAGCCCTCTCCGAGCTTACGGGTCACCTTGATCGGCCACCCTCCGTGCTCATCCTGGTTATAAAGAAGCCAATCACTGGCAGCAAAGAAGGCAGCCATGTGTGCGGTGGAAGACACAGTGATATTGCTGATGAATCCAGACCCTCTAAGAACCAGCTGGACCACACGGCGAGGCATGATTTTGGTCGCTTTCACCACTTTAGTGTTGGACAAACCAACGCCTTTACGCAAATCCGTTACTAAGTCACGACTGACGGAGCTCCAGGTGGCTCTGGGGCCGATGCCGTATGTGACCTCTCGGGCTTTAAAGGAAAGAAGGCGTGGGCTAGTTATGTAATGGATAATGTAAGGAGGTCCCTTTTCTGTGGTCTCCAGAACAACAGAGACACTACCGTTGGAGATAAACTTCACATCAAAGGTCAGGACGAAATCTTTTGCGTTGTCCAAGACCAAAGACACACCATCGGAGTTCTCTATGGAAATACCACAAAGTAATCATCCATCTATGATAATTAACAGCAAAACAGTCCATACAACACCTACAACTTGTTCAAACGTACAAAAATTCACAAGGAGTTCATACCCGCTGTGACAAAATGGTGTGCAAGCCCAGAGCGACCTTGATCCTGGAGCTTGGAGAGCGTGCAACCCTTAGGGACGACCCATGGACTTGAGCCCTCTTTTTCCTCTAACATGCCATAGATCTTTACGTCAGGTGGCTTCTCTGTGAGGTTCTTGCTGTAGTGGCTCAGCCCATACTGGGATATTTGGATGGGGTAGAAGTACCCCTGAGGACCCCACTGGGTAGACATTGGTACACCTGTGAACATAAAAACACAAACGGTTGATTCCAGAAATAGGATAACTCAGTATGAAACCATTTATGCAAGGGGTAGCCAATCCAAGCTAACTTCTAGCAGACTTCAGCTCCAACCCTGCTTCAACACACCTGTCAGTAATTTTTAAGTAACCTTAAATGACTTGATAAGCTTTCAGGTGTGTTAGATTGGAATTGGAACCAGAAGGGTTTCTAGCCTTTACTGGGGCACAAGCACTCTATCAAATGTGTTCCCAAATTGTGATTTTTTAAAATTTTATATACTGTTATGGATATAGTTATTAAATTGTCTTTATCCCCAATAGAGTCGTTCACAAGGTGCATGTGCAATAAAGATCTGCTTTATCGCTGACAAACTATAAAGCATTTCCCAGTTTTGTTTCCTAAAATGGATCGTAGGTATTGTAAATATTCACCTCATCCGCAATTCTTTTTGTTTTCTGTTTTATAAAGTATCCTGTTACTTTTATAAAGTATCCTGTTACTATCCTGATACTTCGATGTGAGAAACCAGTGTAAACGATTTAGTGCAACTGTCCCAATAAATCAAATTGAACCTCAAACAATTTCAGAAAAGATACTCATCAGCGAATCTGGCATTGTCCTATATTTTAAAATCATTTTATATTATACTGGGGCACTGCAGTATTTTGGTGGGGCTTGTGTCCCAGTAAAAAAGGGTCTAGACACCCCTAGTTGGAGCTGAACTGGAGCTGAGGACGATAGCTCTCCGCAAGCAGGGTTGGCTACCTCTGATTTAAGGAAACTACCTTCCACACCGCTGATGCATTTCACCCGATCCCGCACCTCCACGTTGTAGCCTTCAAAAGACATGAAGACACCATCTGGGTGGTATGGCTCCCTCTGGGCATACACCCGGGAGTAACTGTGGGAGAACTCAAACCGTTCTGTCCCATCATACTGCACTAGACGTCCATAGACGTCAAAGTACCGTTCCACCCAGCTGAAGGGCAGATACACCTCGCCCCCTTCCCTACGGCCTTTTATGATCACATCTTCATTGATGAGGCAGTCGATCTGCTCATAAGTGACTTCTCTGGATCCAGGTGGGGCTTCGGGGGCCTGCCCGTTGTCCTCCTCTTCCTCCTCCTCCTTTTCTGGGGTGGGCGCAAACTCCAGCTGAGGTCTGATCTGTGTGGTCAGTTCTTTGTCGCTGGAGCACTTGTTCCACAGCAGTATAGTGATGAGGGCAAATACAGCACAGATGACTATCAGAGTCTTGTGATTAATTCGAGACACCAGACAGCGCATTGTCACATCACATCCATGCGGTGTTAGTGGAACTGACACCAGAACATATCAGGAAACCTTTATGATTCAGGTGCAGCATCTGCAGACAAAGGTAAAGATGGTGAATATGGGTCCACCATTTTGTCATATTCTAGGTATAACCACACAAAACAAATGACAATGTCAAATATTACAAATCACTGGTATAATGAATTTTATGGTGAAGCCTGTCAGTCATATTACCAGGACATTTAAATGCAATATTAAACGTTAATGTACAGTTACATAGGCTATCTGGATTCAACTTACATGGTCAAATTATGAATGAGAAATCATTCCCGTTACTGAGCACTAATCCTTCAGCACATACACGGACAGGCGAATGATTATAAAATCTAATCGCATCACTCTAAATTGAAACTGCGAGGGCTCATGTGATTTTGCATGCGAATGAAGGCGCTGAACAACATGCAGAGCTGTAAAACGGAATGAAACCATACTTACGATCACCTGAAAACAGCACGACGTCTGCGCGAGGGTCTATAAACGCATAACAGTCAGACAAAGAAAAATAAATGCTGAAAGATTCCTCTCGCCTCAAATCTGCATAGTAGATGCTTCCACTCACTGTACTGAATGCAGCACTGGCCAATGAGAGGCGAGTGACCTCCGTGGCAGCCAATCACCAATCTAATGTCAGATAGGTGTGACATAAGGTGAATATTATGATATATTTATTTTCTTCAATTATTTGTTATCCTTTTACGAGTATGTATTTATTTGATAATGATTATGATTATTATATATTACATATTTTAGAATAATATTTAGGTTAAAAGGAATAAGTAAACGTTTATAGGTTTAATATTCTGTGCAGAATCTTTTTGGAATTTTGAATGATAAAAAGTCCATTAAGTTCTGCTTGTGTTGCGTTGCTGCACATAATCGCAAGATGTCTCTATAAACCAAGTGAATGCATGACTTTTATTTAGGAAATCCGAGAATTCCCACAATCTGTAAAGAAAAGAACGGGGAACAAATTGCTACAGGAATGAGAAACACGTTTGTATCGGTTACAATACGATTTCGAACGTTTTAACACCGAGAAGCAATAGCCTATTAATGTCCATATACAATAGGCATCAAAAGCTGATCGTACATGCTTTGAATATAGTTAAAAACACTGACACATAGCCTACGTTACACACACACACTCATATAAATCATCAAAATCTTGAATATTGAACACCTTTCTTTTACAAGTAACTGTTTTTCATTATTTGTATTTACATGTGGGTAACTAATATTTCCTATTGCATATTCTACAGTAAATTACTTCATACTACTTTTAAGACAATTTTACATGACATCAACTGTAGTGTCTATTTTCATACTGGGGCTAAAACAAAACAACGTAAAATTTACATGATGCATAATAACCATGATGGGCATTCAATGAATAAAAACATACATAAGTTGATTAAAAGAGTTAAAAGGTTACTTACACAACAACATGAGCTTTACAAAATGTACAACATCAGACACATGAGCAAAAGCAGATTATCAGACGATTATTATTGTTATGAAAAATAGCCAAAGTAAAATTTCAAACAACTGAAATTATTGTAAATTGCTCAAAAATTTTCTTTGTAGAACTTGAAGCCAAAATGCTCACACTGGGCCTTGATGACTTTGGCCAGAGCATGAGCACCGCAGTAAAACACATGAACCTTTCCTTTCTTTTCCTCAGACAGTTTCTGGAAAACCTGAAAATGCACAAACATAGAGAAAAAAAGATAGAAGAATAGAACAGAACAAACAGAACAGAATAGAATACTGGGTTTTTCATACCTTGGCCCAATCTGGCCTGCCTGGCTGGGTACGTGTGCGGAGCCCCGTGATGGAATCTCTCTTTTCTTTCTTGGCCAGCAGATCCAGAGCCATCTGCAGACCTATGGCCTTCATATCATTCTTACTGAGGGCTGATGTCATGTACATGTGCATCTCCAAAAAACGGCCTGAAAGCATAAAAAACTAGCATGATTGGCCATTTCTGTGCCAAGCTCATCTCTCTCTCTCTCTCTCTCTCTCTCTCTCTCTCTCTCTCTCTCTCTCTCTCTCTCTCTCTCTCTCTCTCTCTCTCTCTCTCTCTCTCTCTCTCTCTCTCTCTCTCTCTCTCTCTCTCTCTCTCTCTCTCTCTCTCTCTCTCTCTCTCTCTCCTCTCTCTCTCTCTCTCTCTCTCTCTTACCCTCTGGCTCTTCATCTGCCTGGTCCATCTCCAGTTTGGTCAAGAGACTCACAAACCATTCAAAGGATTTCTGATCTCGGTTGATCCAAATGAAGTCCACCTGCAGGAAATAAGATATTTAAAACCTCATCAAATCAAAATTATTTATGTATATTAGCTTTGAATCTATCTATATGCTAGTGGATTGCTAAATGTTTTTAAAAAAGTTAACCTTTAATCACTTCAAACAGTCACAAACAGCTTTAATTATGTTTTAAAATGTTTTGTTTTGTTTTGTTTGAAAGACCGTTTGAAGATTGTCTGAAAACAGGACTCAGATTTGTTGAAAACAAATCTTACAAAGCTTTTTTTGTGCAAATGTTTTGATTTGTGTAAATCAGCTGTTTTGTTGTTTTGGTAAGACAAATAAACTTAAGACAGATTGTCTGAAAACAAGTCTCAGATTAGTTGAAAACAAATCTTATTGTGTTAAAAATATTTGCTTTTTTCTGTAAATTTCTCTTTTCCTCCCCAAACTTTCTAAATGTATCTTTTAAAAAATATGCATTTAAACATTGTACTCTCTTTCAGGAAAATGTGAGTCTAAAACAAAAAATGTCAATGATTCATATTGTTTGTAGGGGCTTTTTACCATTTCTTTGCACAATCAAATGCTCTTTAGAATCAGAATGTAGCAAACCATGGTTTTGCTAGAAGGCGACATAACCTGGCCAATTTAAGAAAAAAGGGTTTAAATGTTTTTTGCCACTAATGTTGTTTTTCGCCTAAATCTATTCCAGTTTTCATTTGTCTGATTGCCCCCTTTACCTTTCTCAGCTTCATTTCGTTGTCTTTGATGGTTTCACACCAGGAGTAGTTGCAACTAGGGCAGTTCTGCTTTCTCATGCGATAACTAAAAAAAAAAAGACAAAAAATATTTTTTTACATAAAATTTTTAAAGTTTCTAAAGGGTTTGCATGTGGTATTTTTATGCAAAGAAAACTTTAAAACTGTAATTTTGTGAATGGAGATGTTGCATGTGTCTTACCGGCACATGATGCTCTGCAAAATGGATGCGAAGGGAGTGATGCCGATTCCAGCGCCGATAAGCACCGCATGCTCAGATGTAAAGATCTGTCGGGTCGGGGTGCCAAAAGGTCCATCCACATAGCACTAAAACACACACAAAAAAGGGATAACCAAATGTGTACAGTTTTCTTAGAAGACAATCACTTTAAATAAATTAAATCACATTTTCTGTAGAAGTGGTGCGTGATTAAAGATCTAGTTCATTAAAACTGTAACAAATTATGGTAACACTTTATTTTACAGTGACCTTGTTACACATTACATGTACTACAAACTCTAAACCACACCCTAATCCTAACCATATAGAATGTACGTATAGTTAATTATTATTACTCAGTACTTAAATTTATAATTACACTGTAACACAGATGCCTTAAAATAAAGTGCACCCAAATTACTTACCTTAATGTTGCAGTATCTGTGATTTTCACTTAATTTTGCTGTCAGCTGGAAGACAACAGAAAATAAGTCTTCCTGTTGTGTATCTCACATACAATAGAATATATATTGTGCTTGGTTCAGACAGAAACTCACTTCTCTGGGGACCAGAGGGGCTTCTCCCGGGTCTACCTGTGCTTCTGGGTCACTGACGGGCTTCTGGGAGCTTGTGCGGGTTACGCTTGACCGGTACAGGGTCAGTTCAACAGCATCATCCTTATTAGACGCCACAGTTCCGTTGTAGCTTGCAGACTTGAAAATGTCATCCTACATGGAGAAGAAGTGTAATTGTCTATTGTGTTAAACTTGTTTGGAGTTGATAGTTCGGTAAAACTTTACAATAAGGTTCAATTTTCAAACGATATTTAACTACATTAGTTAACATGAACTAACAATGTAAAATACTTTAAAAGCATGTATTATTTTTTTTAGTTAGTATTAATTTCAACTTGCATTACTTACATTTCAATACATTATTAAAATCAAAAGTTGTACATCAACATTGAACCATTGTATTTGTATTAACTAACATTAAAAAATAAAATAAAAACTGTAACAAATCTATCGCTTATTGTAGTTGATGTTAGTTAACTAACGTTAATTAATGGGATTGTAAAGTGTTATTGATAGTTCTTTCTTATGTCAATGATGTGATTACAAAATGACCCCACCTTTAAAGAATTGCATCTATAAAACAGCAGAGTAATGAACTTGTATTGCTATGTGTTTAGATTCTGACACTCATCCGAGACCTGTGCTCTGTTCTGGTGCCGTCTGTTCCTCAGGCTGGCGGTGAGCCTCTTGCTGCTGATGGTTTGACTCTCCGGCTGTCTAAAATACTCATACAGGCGGTTTGTCCACTGGCCCATCGAACGAATATGGAGCCACAGCACATCTGTTTGAAGAAATGAGATTGAGCAGGGAACCTTTAATCACTTCAAACAGTCATAAACAGTTTTTTTTGTTTATTTAAAATAGTTGGTTTGGTTTTTGTTTTGTTTGAAAGATTGTTTGAAGAATTTGTTTGTCTGAAAACAACTCTAAGATTTGTTCGAAAACAAATCTTATTGTGTTAAACATTGCTTTTTTCTGTAAATATTTTGTTTTGTGTAAATTCTGTTTTGTTAAAATTTTTTGTTTTGTTTTGGTACGCAAAAATAAACTTAAAGTGCCTCTATTATGCAATTTAAATGTTCCTAATTTTGTTTTGGAGTCTCCTAAAAGTTTTTAGAAGACACTTTAATGTTCTCATAATATTTCCAGATTGGCCAAAAGTTTAGTTTGAGCTGTCCCCTCTACAGTACAGGCGTGAAATTACATTTCCTTTAGCTCGAGGCTTATTCATTTCACATTTGGTGTGAAACGGCCTTTACATTTGCTATTAAAAAACAAACAAACAAGCAAGCCCAGACCAGGTGCGAAAAAACTTTACTTTATACTAATAAAGTTTATTACTTTCCATAAACAGTAACTGAGTAATGCAATATTGTAACGCATTACTTTTAAAAGTAACTTTCCCCAACAGTGTATATTACACACTACATGAAAGGTAATATTCGAAAAAAACATAATAGGGGAATTTCAAGTCAAGACAGTTTTGTTGGTAACTAATCTTATTGTGTAAAACATATTTGCTTTTTGTCTAAATAAAATATTTTCCCTAAATTTGGTAAATGTATCTTTTTCAAAATATTGACAAAACATGAATATGATTTTTCTCCAGTGCATTTAAATGCACGACTTAACTACTGAAATATAAACAAATCAAGGCAATACATTACAATAGTGCAAGACTAACATAATTGTATACTTTCTATTTGTTTTACCTTGCTGCTCAGGAGCGCTGCTGATAGTAAACGGATGCCATTCATACTTGGCGATAGCAGGGATGTTTATAAACACATAATCTCCAGGTTTGAAGTGAAAGAATGGAGGCCTCTTGATTACCAAATGTGTTACCTTCAAACATACACACACACACACACAAACAGAGGAGGTGAGGCTTAGCTCATGGATGACTAACTTAAATGTTCCATGGATGGCTAACTAAATGTTCCAGAAAACAAAATACACCAAAATATGTACATTGGCTTAGACTGTACCTTTGAGGGCAATAAGTTGACTTCAACTATGTACAGCCCACCCATACGGGACACTGCCATTCCAACAATTTTCTCAATTAGGAACATCACCCCTGGCACCACAAACCATTTCCAAAAGTTTGCACAGTGAACGACCAACAGGGCCCAAACCCAGATGTAGGAAAGATGAGACCAGTAGAACACCTACACAAAAACAATACATTTTGTTGAACATATTATGCTTTGACCACACTTATTTAGGCATATGAGATGTTGTTTTTCGGTATGTGAGGCTTAAATAAGTTGCAAACACAGCTCTATTCACAAAAGCAACCATGTGCAGATTGTTGCTTCTCATAAATTCAATATCACCTCAAAATGACCACTGCGTCTGACGAATGTGCTGGAACACACCGCCATCAAGCAGATGAGAACCTGCAGAACAACACCCGTAATAGAGGCGGTGCCATTGACCCAGCCAATACCAGGACGGGTGGTGAAAAGATACTCCCACAGCTGATACATGCCATCATTCTGAGACATTCGGGCTATGAACAGAGAGAACGTATAAATTCATCAGTTATTTGGGATTTTAAAAAAATATATATATATTGCTTTTGTTATGTTCAGGGCCATTCTTAGGGCGGTCCAACAGGTTGTGACCATTAGCCCTGGTGATGTTACAATGTCATATACTTTATGTACTCAATTTAAAGAGATAGTAGAACCCAAAAATGAAAATTCTTTTTTGTTCATACAACGAACGTTAATGTTTTCTGGACCCCATTGACTTTTTAAAATATCATCTTTTGTGTTCTACAGAAACATTCTAACAATGTGACGGTAAGTAAATGATGACAGACTGTGGAGTGAACTATCCTTTTAATCCTTCCCTCGGGTCATTTTGACCCAGAAATCATTTTCGAATTATTTTTTATTTTAAATTGAGTGTTCATCTGAGAGGTCCAAGACCCCAGGACTTTTGTCACACTTGAACCACGGATACACAAACATTTTTGAAATATTCGAGGAGTTTTGTGGTTGAAATTTAAAAAAGTAACAAATCCTTCCCTCACGGGTCAATTTGACCCCCATAGGAATGAATGGAATGCGAGGAATGCTTCAGTACACATAAAAAAACCTAAAAATGCTCAAAATTCAAACTAAAAATGCTAAAACTTATTTTATTAATTATTTTATAATGTCTACATGTGTATCTGAATGCATACTAAAGAAAAACTGACTTTAGGGCCCAGCGGAACATTTGCTCCAAATAGTGCTATAAGTCCATCTAGTGGCAAGATCATGAAATATCATGTTATATAATTTTTTTTTTCCACAAGAGGTCTGCAAAGACACCCAATGCAAGATATTTTGAGCTAAATTAAAAGGTTTATGCATGAAATTGTGAGTTATTTTGAATTTAAGTTTAAAGAATGTGAGGAATGTGCTTAAATGACTAAATTACTATTGATATATTATTTAGTGATCAAATCTATCTAAAAAAATAACAAAAAATCTCATCAAAAAATGTTATAAAAAAATAGAAAAAATATTATCAAAATGAAATAAAATAAGCTTTCTGGACAAAAAAAAAAAATCACATTTTGACCCGTGAGGGAAGGATTTGTTACAAAACGCGAGGGAAGGATAAATTTCATCATGTTTATAAACTATTTTATTTCAGGTTACCAAGTTCATGTTTACTTCATGTTTAGTTTAAGTTTACTTTCTTATCCATAGAATGAATGCCAGGGGAGTCTATTGTTGTTTGGATCCTCTGACTTTCAAAATATTCCTATAAAAATGAATTAGACTATTTTTAACTAGATTTATCACAGGTTACCAAAGTTCAAGACGTGAGCGGCAGTGTGCACAACGGTGAAGATCAGGATGGCGTAACCCACGATCTGATGCAGTAAAATGTTCTGGTCCAAAGGTAAGATCCTCACCACCCAGGTGGCACGTAGCCACGTCAGACTACGCCTTAACATCAGCACCTGTAGTTTTGGCCAAGACAAAACCTACTGTCACTACTGGAAACGATGTATTAGATGAATCCACGAGCCCAACTCACCATAACAAACGTGCAGTTGAGGTTGAGACACTGTCCGCAGCCCCTAGCCACCATGAACCAGGGACCTCCGTGCGCATTCTTCTGCATCGCCATGATGAAGAGGAGCAGGTTCAGGAGGGCGTACAGACACAGAAAGAACAGTTTGCGGCTGTTGTTGTGCCAGTATGTCCGCGTCAGGTATCGAGGAGTCTTACGTTTCTTCTGCTCCAGATCAGGAGGTTTCAGCCAGTTGGCGGCACTGGGCGAAAACACAAAAAGTGGAAATTTCAGCAAATAATCACTTAAATGTTGGTCTGCTCACTCATCATTACACCAAGCTATCGTAAACGGCTTCAGAAGACTAAGAATATAATGTACAAGTCATGGTGAATAACATGCTTTTTGATAATTTTTTCTAGCTTTTATTCATGTTCATGAACGGTTAGTTTTGGTCCCCATATATGATTGGCTCAACAAAAGCATATACCATCAATTAACAACCTTGTACCTCATGATAAATGTATCTTCTCATAAATGTTTCCAAGTTATTGTTATTGTAATTTTTACATCCAGAACCTGACTGTTGCACTCATAGATATGCCAGTGACTGGTTACTGAGTGATTCTTTGAATCACTTATTCAACCGATTTGTTCAAAAACACTGATTTATTTTGAAACCAAAAAAGCCCCTGCTGAAAAAAAACAAAACAATAGAAACCATCACAGAAATACGAATGGTTTCCGCTACAAATACTATTACAAACCATTAGCTGTTTAACCTTTGAAACCATTACAAATTCGAATTGTTTTTCTTTTCAGCATGGGTTGTCTTTATGAGCGAGTCATTGATTCATTCACTCAATTGATTCGTTAAAAAAACAGTGATTCATTGAGGAACTAAATGTCATTATGAGTGAGTCATTGATTGAATCAACTGATTCGAAAATCATTTAGGAATATAACACTAGCTACGGTGCGTAACTTCTTCAGTACTATTTTCTTTGGTGTAAAGAAAAATACTTAAATTGACTGTCAATATTGTGTCTAAATTATAAGTAATTTAATTCTAGCCTACTTTCTCTCTTGCTTACTGAACTGTTGTATAAAAACAGTCACTGTTGAATATCAGCACTTGTGATTAGCATAATTATGTCCCACCTGATGGTGAGGTTCTCCATAACCTCCGGAAAGTTCTCGAGCTCTGCCTTCAGCTCTTCAAACGTGATGGAGCCGCTGTTATCTTTATCAGCAGATTCGAACAGCGCCAGCGTCAGGTCATCCAGCTTTTCCTCAGGGAGTGAGATCGCACTTTCACGCAGGCAGGACTTCAGAACCGTACGTAACTCATCTGGGTCTATGGAACCACTGCCTACATGATTAGATTCAATTAATGATTAAATTACCGCATCTTATCATGATTTATTTCTGGATCAACATGCTTTGTTGTTCCTGGCACGACATTTTAGTCAGTCATTGCTTTGATATAGTCATGACATGCCATGGTCCGTGTAATGTCCCAGGAACAACAAGGGATTACAGGGACGGTACGTGTACGTTTTGACCATTTCATTTCCTATTTGGGAAAGAATAACGAAAAAGACAAAGACTTTATAATGTATATAGGCCTCTTCCAATATTGCCAATTATAAAAAAATATAAAAAAAAGAGCAGCCTAAATAAAAAGAAAAATAAATACACAGTAGGCTACCGGTAGGCTATACGTTATTTTAGACGTTTAACCAAAATCCCATTCAAAAACCCATTGACTTTAGGACGGTGGAAGCAGAAAAAAAAGCTAACAGTTTCCATGTTTGTGGATTAATGCAGCACTCTATTAAAGTTACCATGAAATTAAAATGGACAATTCTTACTTTTTTATGGAATATTGCAATATTATTATTATTATTATATAATCAAAATAGCATTCCCTCTCTTTAGCAGCATCATCTCCTTCTTTTCTCTGATGACGTGTTTACTGGCGCTAGGGCGGGGCAACCTGCCACTCACATGAGATCGACCAATAGCAAATCACAAACATCAAATCAATTCCCAATGGACAAGTCCTGCCCTACATTTGTTCTTGTTCATGAAGCCGTTTCACTCGGATATATAGGCTTCGTCACAATAGGGAAGAAAAGACTATCACAACTTCCGTTTAGTTCCGACTTTAACGCCATACAGAAGACGGGGCGGTTTAACCAATCAGATGAAAGAGACATGTCAGTGTTGCACACATGTGTGAGTTAAATATTGAAGCCATGAACCCATTTGCAGTGCACTAAAGAAAAAAGGAGAAATCGAGTCCAAGTTTGTTTTCCGTTTGTGAATCTACACAAAATAGTACATCACTTTGTGCATGTAACACATACTTAGCAATCAGGGATGTTTACATAATTTTACCAACGCAAGTCTTTCCACACTTAATAAAGGCAGACAATTAAATGATGGTAGTGATTCTCAACCTCCACTGTCAATTTTCTTTCTACTTTGTTTACATTTCTAAATAATTATTTAAATTATTTTTATTATTTCACTATAATGTCATTTATTTAAAAAAAATTGTAAAATGAGGAGGCCGCAACATGTTGTGAACCACTGAATTACAGAATGAGAGTAAAAGAGGATGGTATTGTACATCTCACCATCCACATCGTAGACCTGGAATAGGAAGCGTAGTTTGTCTGTCTCATTGCCATGGATCAGAAGATCTAAAGCCTTGAGAAGTTCATCCAGACTGATGGAGCTGCTGCCATCAGAGTCAAACAGGGCGAAAAACCTCTCCGCAAAAAATGACTACAACAATAAGAGAAAAAAAGTAGCATGTTGAGATCTTTTCAGAATAAGTTAATGACTTTAAACTAATGTACTCTACAGTGGACAAATATTCATCTATCATCTCAGGGGGGATAATAAAAGGTTTTGATGATCAGTAAACTGACCTCCTTTACTTTCAGAGCCGTTTTAAACTCATCCAGGTCGATCTCTTTGTCGTCTCCTGCAATGCTCTCGAACTGCTTGGTGACCCATTCCAGCCAGCGCGCGTCTTCATCTAGACTCATGTCTCCGCTTCACACACATGTAGGAGCAGTTTCATTAATGCGTCTCATTCTCCTGTCAGAGTCACATTTAGTCTAGAACTACATTAATAGTTTGCAGGAAACAAATTCAGACAGTTGTAATGTAAAGCATCAGGGTTGTGGCTGAACAAAAAAAGTATTTTTATAATAAAAAATAAATCCGTTACCAATCAACTAATATTTGTTCTTACAGTATGTGCCCACATTTTAAATCAATTATTAATTAGTGGAAAGCAATATTTATCTAGATCAAAGGAGATTAGTATATAAATTCATTTTTAACAACAGATTCTGAATCTTGATTTGTGGGATTGTATCATTTTTAACTTACATTACTCACATAATTAGTCATTATTTAAACATGTTATATATTTTAAAATACATAAAGCATTAAAATAGAAAGTATTTTATATACTTTAATACACATAATTAATACACACATATGTAATTGTTTACTATTTTTAATATTTAAATATTCTACATTTTTAAATACATAAACCATTAAAGTAGAATCCATAAAAAATTAACTCATACACATTATATATAAATATATATATATATAGACACAGACACACACATTACCATATCTCACATAACTATTCATTACGTTTTTTTAAATTTTAAAAGGCATAATTAATTTCATGCAATTAAAGTATTTTTTTATAGATTTTAACATACATCAAATACATTAACAATAACTGTTTCCTGGGTGTAACTGCATTTAAAACAAGAGAAAACACCTTTAGGTGTATAAAATATTTTGATATTATGTGTTATATATTATATATAATTAATATTTGTATAAACCCTCATATACATAATTAATACACACACACACACAATATGGTAATGTATTACCATAAATATATCTTACCATATCTCACATCTCACCAGTCATAAAGTATATTTTTTACAGTATATACATACAGTATATATGTGTTCAAAGACATTAACAATAACTGTTTCCTGGGTGTAACTACACAGTTTACATAATTTTGCATTCAAACCAAGAGAAACCGTTACCTTTAGGTAATAAATCCTCTCAGTCTATTCCCTTTTGGCTTTTCATGAAAATGTTGTCAGACAAAAATGAAAAGATAGGGAGAGATGTTATTGCAGTCCTACGATGTTGCTGTTGCAGTTTATCTAGTTTAATCACCTTTCAGAGGAAGAGAGAGAGCGAGAGGGAGGCTGGATAGTATTGTAATGGACATTGAATATCTCATACACACAGCAGCAGCTGCCTCTGACATCCCTCAGTACTACCCCTACTGCACTCTTCATCACAAAACCAGCGCTAAACACGAACAATAAGCTTCAATCTGTCTATCATCTAATACACAACTACTCATTTGGATGGAAAAGCACTATAAGTGGTCCATATGACTTTTTATTAGTGCTGTCAAATCGATTAATTGTGATTCATCGCATCTAACATAAAATTATATATATTTACTAACATCTATGTTAGATGCGATTAATCACGATTAATCGTTTTGACAGCACTACTTTTATATATTATAAGTCATACTGTATGATAGCTCTATGAGGAACAGAATTAAATTTAGAATTTTATTTATTGAAAACTTCTCAAAACGGACAAATATGTGTTAACATTTTTCACAAAAGCATTATTTATAACCTATTTTACCTCAAAATGAACCAACACTGCAAAAAAATGATTTCTTTCCTCAGTATTTTTGTCTTGTTTTCCAGTACAAATATCTAAATATTCTTACTTCTTAAATCAAGAAGCAAAATGACAGTCATTTAAAAAAAAATCATCAAAATCAAGCGAGTTAATGCTTAAAACAAGAAAATATATCTGTCCATGCGGTAAGAAAAATAATACAAATAAAAAAAATTAATTAAAGGTAATTAGTCCTGTTTTAATACATTTTTTTTAATTTGTATTATTTTTCTTGCCACATGGACAGATTATTTTTTCTTATTTCAAGCACAAACTCACTTGATTTTGATGATAAAAAAAAAAAATGAAGTCATTTTGCTTCTCAAGTAAATGTATTTAAGAATTTTTGGATATTTGTAATGAAAAGCAAAGCAAAAATACGAAGCAAGAAACAATTTTTGTAGTGAATGAACTTGCTAGCAACACTCATGTCATCGGTTTCCTATAGAGAACACGATCACTAATAAAATGAACATGTTGAAAAAAAAAATTACAAAAGGAATTCGCTATAAGCCACTAAAAGCAGTGTCTAAGAAAAGTCTAAGATATATTTCACATGGCGATGAGCCACAGAACAAAGACCAACATCCCTCCATCTGTCAAAATACCTCTGTGTCATGACGAGGTCAAAGACACTTCCTTTAAGACTGGACTGATGAAATCATTCAATAGACATTTCAATATCCGAATGAAAACATGGCAAAGAGACTCTATCCTGCTGTCACTGTGTGCTGCCTTCTGGGAAAGTTGAAAAAAAACAAAAGAAAACAAATACTCATATCACAAGATATTTATTCACCAACACACTCAGAAACTGAAGAACTGCATAAGGACCAACAGATGGCAAGATACAGTAGAACCGGAACATTTCACATCTTATAATGAACTCCGTTCAAAGAAAAACGCATTAAACAACAGTAACGAAATATGAACAACTATGCTGAAATATGAACACATTTTAAATGCTTGGTAATGTATTAAATGTGAGACTATATAGAACAGTATCAGCAGGATGCCATCCCTGTCACTCCAGCCTGACCCGTTTCCGTGGTGATGGGGGCGGGTCCAGAGCAAAGGCTGTGGGGGAAGAGGGGCGGGATTCTGGGATGTATTCCATACAATATTTCTCAATGTATGGCCCAGCAATATCCCACACCTGAATGCAACAGGCAAGAAACAACATGGCGTGAGAATGTTATCAGTGCAAAATTCGTCATTACAATGCTAGACATTTGTGGGTGTCGCTATAGAGTAGCTAAAGGTTTATAGCATATTGCTATGTGGTTGCTAGGGTTTTCTGGGATGTTTTGTGTTTCATGTCTATATGATGTTTTGGTCTGGATTTTTTCACCTGTTTTATGATCCACCAGACAAGTAATTGTAAGTCTGATTGTTTAGAAAAAGATAGCATAACTCTTCCCAACAAGACTCAACTTGTGAGCTACCATTCATGTCTGTAGCATAAACAGTTACGCACCAAAGGTTAATAACTCTGAGTTTTGAGGTTTGTTTCAATAGTAATAGTGATGCCAAGAATAAGAAGCAGTGAGTCTTACCTTCTGGTCCACGAGAAGCCGATGTACAGCTTCTATGTCTGGAGCCATGAACCTGTCTTTAAACCAGGGCCTGAGGACAAGAGAGATAAAGACAAGACAAAGGTAAGTAGGAAGAGACAGATGAAAGAAGATTTGCCAATTATTAACCTGAATGTTCAATATATTGGAGGTTTTGGGGTTGGTGTATCATTGTTCAACCTACTTTACTGTAGAACGCACAAGGTCGTACACTTTCTCCAATGGGGTCGTTGTACGTAGGGGGCGTAGAAACTCAATACCCTGACAGGCAGCTAACAACTCAATGGCTAGCACTGTAAGGAAACATAAAACGGACATATCCAGGTTTCCTTTCTCCCAAAATGACATATTCTGTTCTGTATTTGCAGATCAGTGGACAAACAAATTACAAAAATTCAGTCATTTCAATAGGAATCTGTGGAATTTGGAGGTTTCGCGTTCAAAGTTTCGTTCATGTTCAAGTTGGTCATGCAAATTTACCACAGTGAACAACAGAAAGCTGCTTTGTACATAAATTATACGTAACTCTTTCCCCGCTACTCACGTCATTGACTCCATCTGTGTTTTGATCATCGTTCTGAATCCGATCGAAACATAGTCTTTGACAAAAATATGATTTTCTCAGCGTTTTGCTCAAAATGTTGCTTTTTTTTATAAAACTTACCCACATAATATAAATTAAGTAAATGTATGTAATAAAAAAATATTTTTGGGGGGTTCAAAAGCAGAGGGTCTGTTCTTTCTTTTGATATATTGCATGTTCAGATATTCATGCAACAAAATATTTTAGGGGCCATGAAACTTTTGGTGTAAATGATCAAAAATGCTGGTGCTGGCTGGTGGGGAAAGAGTAAATACATCACTACGCTCTTGACAATAGACCTTTTTTTTTGTCTGCAATTTCACTGAAATATTGCTTATGTGACCGCACCTTTTAGCCACCAATTCACTAAAACATAAAATAGTTATGAATTGCAATGAGATTGTGTTGAAAAATTGTAAGTATTATTACAATTTGTGCTTTGGTGCTTCAGTAGGGGGCGCTATAATAGTAACAATTTTATCTAAATTGATTAGTGGATGATGTCAGTGGGTATATGGGAGGGTTAATATCAGGTTTTGGACCTTGCTCGACGTGCTCGACCACTCTGAGGGCTTTGCGTGCGGCCCAGCCACCCATGGACACATGGTCCTCCGTGGCCGCGCTGGTGGATAGGGAGTCAATAGAGGAGGGGTGGCAAAGCACTTTGTTCTCTGAAACTGCAGAAGGAAATGTATCTGTTTTAGTTAATGGTCAACATGACTTCAGTACAGTAGTCAAAATTAAACTTTCCACTATTTGGTTAAGGAGAGTTATAGTCTTCTGAACTTTGTGATGCTAACCGAGAGACGCGGCAGTGCAGTGCGCGATCATAAACCCAGAGTTTAGGCCTCCCTCGTTGACCAGGAACGCAGGCAGCTCGCTGAGAGAGGGATTGCAGAGACGTTCAATGCGCCTCTCGCTGATGGAGGCCAACTCATGCACTCCGATCGCCAAATAGTCAAGAGCCTAAGAATGGAAGAAGAGAATGTGCAGAAATGTTGTCGGGACTCTTTGTTAAATAAATGCTACTGTTGTGAGATAAAATACCTTTGCTGGATATTCTCCATGGAAGTTTCCACCGGATATTGTCTCACCTCTCTCTGCAAACACCATCTAACTCACAGTCAAGGGCAAATGTACATATCTGTGGAAGAGGCTGGTGTAGTTACGGCACTGACCAGCTAACCA